AGACTTTTACAGAGCAGACCACACAGATTTCTGTCACAAATTCTGTAAGAATAGCTGATCCTGCACTAGAGTATAGAAGTATGATATATGATTTCTAGATGTCATTTCTAGACACATAGAAGCTAAGACGATACAACACTGGCAATTTTACTATCTTTTCAGTGTATATGAGCCTTTGTCACACATTGCTTAAAAAACTGTTCAGCATATTTCCTAGAAGTAAGGAATAAACTAAGGAATGTTTCCAACAACTAATAGATTTAGAAAATCTAGGTATTTATAACTACAAAGAACATTAAAAAAAAAAAAAAAATCAATAATGGCTGTGATTTCAGATGACTCTGAAGCTAAAATGACAGAACTGAAAAGCAGAACTCAGTTCTGAAAGCAACTTTTTCCAAAAAGAAGTTCCTTCAAACATTTAGGATAAACTCTTTTTGACTTCATGAGACTGAAAGTTGTTTTACTGCTGTAGTCTTCTAATACTCAGTTAAGAACGCCAAATTTACACTAGCAACTTGAGTGAAACTGCAAGCTACAAAAAAGTATAATTAAGCAAGCATGCACAAAACACCATTGAAGCCTTATTGTTAGCCAGGGAACATTATCATTACTTCTGTGCTACTTCATCTGCGTAAGTGTCATAATTCTCCTTCGGACCAAGACAGAATATTTCAAGATTTTAATTAAAACCATTGACACTGAGAAATCCCATTGGATGTTTACTTTTACTCCTCCTTACAAGAACATTTCCTCTCCAAAAAAAGTCTTTAAGTTCAAAGACTTTTCACCCTTCTAAAATAGATTGCACAAAGTATTTTGAAGCAAAAAGGGAAAAGTAAAAATATCTTTGCTTTTATATCTATGCATGCTGTTCTGAAATCAATTTGGCATATGCCTTGTGAACATCCTGGAACAGCAGAGTTTTCTTCTCACTTGCAGTCTGAGAGCTATGTTTAATAAGAAATTTAATATGAAATTGATCTGCTTCAAGAATGGCAGCCAAGAACCATGGAATGCTGCTGCAAAGTACAAGAAAAGAAAATCAATGTGCAGCTGTGCATGCTTGGCCATGGCCTTCCTGCACGTGGAAGGCAGTAATGATGAGATGGCAATTTTCCAGAGCTTTGTCCTCCTCAGCAACAGAATGCAACTCCAAATTATAATCATAAGCTCTTTCTATTCAACTGTAAAGGTTGTCTTAAGTATAGATGCCTACACAAATGCCACAGAGGACATATATCCAGCATGAGTGATATTTTACACCTTGAGCAACAAAACAGCATTTTGATTTACAGGAAAGCCCTCACTGCCTTCCCCTCACACACCCTTTGGGACAGGCAACACTGACTACACTACTTCAGAAACAAGTCGTGTAGAGACCACATGCCTGCAGGCTGGTGGAGGTAAGGTGCAAGGTGAGAAAATATCTAGTTCAGTAGGACAGGAAAAAAGATACCAAGAATTTCAGGAGACAGGCTCATACCAAAATCCGTGCTCTTTCTATACAAACACCTTTGAATTTCTACAGAGCAGAAAAAATAATTTCAAGCAACAATGATCAGTTTAGCTTTCAGTATAGACAGTTCCTTCATATTCCAGAAGAATATGCTGATCTAAACAATCTTTCAAGTATTTTTAGATTTCATTACAGATACAGTAGGTATAGACAAACTATGCCATTAAGATATTTTTATTATGCAATAAAATCTAAGTAATTAATTAGATTTAGTACATATTCTGTAGCTGACTGACTGAATAAAATCTTTCTCAATTTTACTCTAATGCAGCTCCAATGAAGAGATGTTTCTAAAATATTCAAAAACAACATTAATAACAGAAGCTTTTATAACAGACTTAGTTCCCAAGAGTGCACAAAACAGATGTTTGTAGAAAAGTTCAGGTCTCGGGTCTGCATCCTAGCAATCTCATATAATAAATAATAAATAATAATAATAATAATAATAATAATAATAATAATAATAATAATAATAATACTTATGTGTACTCAACTGCCCATAAAAATGAAGCAGAAAAGATGGAGAGCACTAGCTGGATATTGGAAATGCTGGTGTTCTGTCAGTATGGGAAAAGTAGTTCTCAATATAGATCAAGTACAAGAAGATACTCAGAACAGCTGCTCTACATTTACAATATATAATTAATCTCACTTGTATAAACCTAAATATTTATAGACATTTATTTTTCCTCCACAATACTAACCCAGTTTTATTGAATGAAGACAGATAATCTTCCAAGTACTTTAAAAAATGCAGCTAAAAAAATCTGATCTTATGCTGCAGCTATGTTAGATCTGACTTTACACCTTAATAAAGCCATAGAAAATACTAACATTTTACTTTCTTGAAAACCTATAATAAAATGTGTAACTTTCATTAGTACAGAGCTAGCATTTTCTACCATTTTATGAAAGATGAACTACTTGAAAAGACGTACTTAAATCTGAAATCGCAATTAATTGGCACCACAGAAAACTGTACATACAAATACACATTTCCATCCATCAGTCCCCAAAATATAACTAAAAACAGAAGATAAATCTACCTGCCTAAAAGCCCCTTTGAAATACTCAAAAAATATAATATGAACCATTTTGAGGCATTTTAAATGTAATCAAATGAAAATATTTTGACACTTTATTCTTTTAATGCCATTTAATTTTATAATACCTTGCTTTTGAATTGCAGCAGATGCTGTGATTTTTATAGGTGTACAGCTGTACACCTGATAACCAAACCAACATCATCAGGTGCTTCCTCTTAGAACAGCTCTGACTGAAAGCATGACCAATATACAAGATTTGTTCCATATTAATGGGTTGTCTAGAAAGCCCCATTTGTTTCTCTTTTTTGAATGTTATCAGTCAAGTATTTTGTAATCGAGGCCTCTAAAGGGCACCTCAGAAATGATTCCCAAGCTGTTTGGTACCCAAAAACCTCCAATCTCTCAGTAATCCTGGTGCACTAGAGCAGAGCCCACAGGTCCAGGGTGAAAGAAATAGTTTCTACCCTCCCAGGATTCAGCAGCATTGCTAGCCATCCAAGCAGATATATTGGAAACACTACCCTTTTCCATCCTCTTGTTTCATTGATAGAATTTGTTTATGGGCAAACACCGGAAACAAGCTGGAATTCTTATTTATTCATTTTTAATATCATTAATTTCATTCTTTTGGATCTTTTATCTTTTTTGCACAGTTTACTTGACTGCTTTAATTCTAGTCTCAGCTGTCCTGATAAGTAATCAACATTAATGATCCATTAGGTGGGTTATTCTTAATAATCCTTCTTAATTCAAATGCTTCATTGCAGAATTTCTTCTAAGGCTTGTGTAGCACTCAAAATCCCTACTACAAGAGAAAAAGCTAGCAAATCTAGATAGGGAATGGTGTTCAAAAGGATCCTATCCACTTACAATTAGTACTGAGCCTCATCCATGATGTACAAGTTATCTCCTCTTAGAGCATACAAAAAAAACAGAAGTAGGAAATTAAAAGAGGACCACAGATGAAATCTGAGGCAGAGTACCAGAACATAGTGCAGCAGAATTGTAGCAGATATTAAAAAAAAAATAAATCTGAATTTGGAATGTGGAAACATTAGACAATAATAAAGAATATTTCCTCACATTGCTGGTTGGTTGCAAGTGGAATGATTTTTTGTTTGATGAACATTCTGTAAGCAGGACAGAGCTAGGGGCATTCCTTGCTTGTCCTTCAGAAATCATGCGTACTATACAATAGGAAAGATTCTATTAGATTCCATTACCTTTCTCACATCCTAGCAGGCCTTTGAATCCACTGACCCTTCTCTTTTTTCTCAGAGCTCCTAAAACTACACTGGATGGTCTACAACAAGAAAATGCTCTGGCAAATCACAGCATGACAGTTCAGGCAAACGCGTCTGATGCCAAGCGGTACTATCTCACTTCTCTGATGGTCACATATCTTTACCTACTGTGAAGTTCACACCACTTGCCAATCGTATGCACACACTGTGCCTGCACAAAGAGTTTGCTGCCTTCATTCAACCCTACAAGCAGGGTAGCCTGAACAGCACACCAGCAACCGGACTTCAGACTTGCTTCCAGCAGAAAGGAAAACAATGATGTGTTCCAGTGTATACAGCAGGTCTGGTGGAGGCAACAACACAAATCTGCAACCCAACAACCCCTCCAGCTCACATCACTCCCCCTAACAACCTGCAGTTCCCCCCCCCAGCTCTCATCATCATAGACATCACCATCAAAGACAGAGGCCATGACATTTTGGCATGCTGAGCACAATTTCCAGTGTGATTTCTGTGAGGAGAGGTGGCACCTATCAATCCAAATGACAAAACATCCAAAATTTTAAGCATTGTTCTGACACCAATCTGTTCTACAAGGTATAATGAATAAATGTTTCAGCTTTCTCCTGGTAAAACAGAAGTAATTACCCCATAAGAAGGGATATCGGCCAGTAGGAAGTACATGCATATTTATTGTTACTTGATAGGTCTTGAGAAAACAATGACTCTCATCTAAGTAGATAAATAATTTTTCACACACTCAGAGGTCTTCTCAATATGCAGAAGGACCTAGAAGCATCACTGCTTGTAGTACTTTCTTGTGGTGGCAAAAAATACATGCACAGCAACCATGAAGGAGTTAAAGTGAGATAAATGTAGGTTACATTGGAACTTTAACAAATCGGGACCCAAAGATACGCCAGCCAGTGAGGGTTAGAGGCATCTGAGGGTCATGAGCCTCAAAGCTAAATGAAGGTCTAAGCCCTGCTGTTACACGTTCTGAAGATTTCCTAGAAAAAGTGTTTGGTTTTCTGCCTCTGTTTTTCAGTGCATACTGCAAGATGATAAATGCATATGCTACTCAGATGAGCTACCTTCTTTGTTTTCCCTCTGGTACTATTAAGGATGTGCCAGTGGCTACGAAATAAGAAGAAAGTTACTTGACAAATTTCAAGTAAATTCATGGTGAAATATTAAGCTTCATTCATCTTTTATGTGGCCCTTAAGTAAAACAGGGTTCTGTAAAAAATTTTTGGGAGGCATAATAAAGACGATGCAAGCAATAATGCAGCTGATAAATCATTTATGAAGAAAGTAAAGGGAGAACATTCCCAAATACCAGTGCACAAAGTATTTCCACTAACATCTTAGGCCTAATATACTCCATTTTAAAACAGACAATTAGATAACTGCTATAACATGCACCACTGGGGGAAGATGCGAACTACGACTGGCAGAAAGCAAACAATCCAGTGTTCATTCATCCTGTTACCTTGAGAGGCAAGCTTCTCCGTGAGAAAAGATTCAGTGGATGAATTCAAGCTCCTTGAGAATCAGCCTCAAGACTTCTTGAAAGAGACTATTGTGCTTTGTTAAGTAATAAAGTATGCACTTACTTTCTGGTCTTCTTTCACCAAAAGAGTAGACTGATGTTCATCTATTAATACTGTCAACCCACAGCAATCAAGAGACGTGGTTCCTTATTCTTGTTTTCAAAAATTTCCTTCATCAATAAAGCATTATTTTCTATAGGGAGTAAACAGAGTAATGACAGTGTCATATGCGTCTTATTCTTATGAAGCACAGGTCCTATAGTGTCAGATGACAAGCCCTAGCATCCTAGCACCAATTTCAGCAGTCTTGCCAGGTCACTCCTATAAAAGATCCAGCCCATGATGTTATGAGCTCATATTAATTCCAGACATAAACAAGTGACCTTTAAAAACTTTTGGTTACTTTCAAATACAAAATTAAGCTTTCAGGGTTAAGAAGTCACCACTGAAATTGATGTGTGGTTGCCATATTTGAAACTGCTTATGCTAAATGGCTGTTCAGGAACTAATTATATGCAGCCTCAGCATAAATTCCTGTCATCCAATAAAAGACTTAATATTAATAGTGTTGGCAATGAGTTATAACAGTCACTTGATTTCTATGAACAATGTTATATGAATGAAACTCTTCTTGTCTTTATGTATATGATTAATGGCAATTTGAGCAGAACCTTTGTTAGGTACTTTTAGGTCTTTGTGTTTAGAAATTATTAAAATTCACACAATTAGTCATGACGTAGCACAATTATTTGCCCTTTGTCTTATTCATGGTCACCCACTCTGTTTTTGCACATACTTGCACATACTTTTGCATATTTGAAGGTTTCTTCAAATAGGTCAAAAGCATATACATAAACCTAAAGAACTTGAAGGGATTTTGTTCAGCGTTCAATATTTCACTGAGTAAAACAATTTAACTCACCTATCCACATCAGTCAGATAACAATCTGAAATTGGGATTAATACATCGCTCATGTGTTCAAATTCTCAGGTTTGATAGTAACAAGCCTGATCTCAGATCTGCTTAAACGAGTGAAGAATATGCCTTCTTCCTTTCAAACCATTTTGAATCTGTCTCTATTTTCTCTGTGAAGAAAAAACAAGTCCTTCTCTTACTGTAGGAAAAAACAAACAAACAAACAAACAAACAAACAAAATAACTCTAAGTAGAACAAAATAGGGCAGTCCTCTAAGTGTAGCACTGAGAATTAGTTTGACAGAAAGACATTAATGAAGCACTAAAATCATCAATGAAGCAATAAAACAAAACAATAACTGTGATAGCATGCTGCAACCAACCATAGGGCTAGAATTCTTCATACAATTTCTCCCTGTTATGTGAATATCTGTACAAGCACTGTTCAAACATATGGTCTGTAGACTTTGAATTATTTAAAATTGACGGAGCCTTTCTCCAGAAGGTTTCCCAAAAATACTAAAAGAGAATCAAGGACAAAATCATGCAAACAGACTTGACCTCTTTCCTGCTTACAGCTCATAACCTAACTACACCAACAAACAGCAAACTAGACTTAAATATTCTTCTGATGAGGACTAAATAAATGAATACATGTAATTACTAAAACTATAATTACCAGTGCAATGTTCCCGTTATTGCAACAAAAAGAGTGCGCCTGTGGAATAAACTAGCTGCCTTCCTTCCAGGATAACCAAACACTGGGGTTAAAAAAAAAAAAAAAAAAAAAAAAAAGAGAGAGAGATTGAGAGAGAGAGAGAAAACCATGAATAATTCAGGATTTGACTTGCTTTATTCAAAAAAGGGCCTTGCATGTAAATTTCAGATGAATCCCATATTCACTGAAAAACAACTAATTTACTTTCAGAATAGTAAATGGAGAAAATATTTTCCATTTAGGCTACTGCACTGCATACCTGTTTGGCATCCTGTTGAACACTCAATGAAGGATTAACTGACATAAGCATCTCAGCCCCTTATCCCAAACGTGTGAATCACACTGCTAAAAGCCTTCTTCATCACTGACTTTGCTTTTTTGTTATTAAGTAAGCATACTTGCATAGGCAAGATTGTCAAAAATCAGACAGCAGAACATATTAAACAATAAACAAGGATAATTAGATCACATTTGAATACCACTTTTTATAACTCCGGTGAGGGAAAAGGAATGGTGACAAGTTCTCTGATGCTTTTGTTCCTAAATTTAATGTTATCAAGTCATTTACTCACTTTCAAAGAGCTACAAAGAAGTAAAATGGAAGAGCATTCCATGTAATGCAAGATTAGCATTGTTTTAAACCTGTCCCAAAACAGAGTTTTACAGCATACACCAGGGAAAGCCACAGAGAACTTAGCACCACATCAGACATCCTGGTGTGCTTTCACAGCAATCACCAAACTGGATGAAGTGTTAGAGTGAGCTACTCCACATCTCTTCCAGTGATCTGGCCAGAAACATCAGAGGCAAGAGCAGGAGCCCAGCCAGTCACGATACAATTAACTGCCAAGTTCTTCAGTTTACATTTCTCAGTAGGATTTTACATTAAAAGCAGGCATCCTGTGATGTGCCATACCTACTAGATTAAAGCAAAAGGTGGATGAGGTTGTCATTTTAAGAGGCTGCGCAACATTTAGTGTCATCAGTGCAGTCCCCCAAGGAGTTAGCCTTTACCTAACCACAGAAAGCCTTTCAGGATTTCTTAGGATTGAGGAAAGCCTCTTACTTCTCTTGGTCACAGTGGAGATTTGGCTCCTCGTCTCTACAACTCAAGGTAATTCTATCTATGCACAACAGCCTTTACTTCTGTCTATAAACATGCTTCCAAATGAATGAGTCTTCTCAGTTCTATTAATTCAAAGTGTATTGAGGACTATGAACTTATTCACAAGCAGCATGAATCACTCTCAGAAACTCTGACACCTAAGTGTTTCCCAATATTGTAATAACGTAATGTCTGCCACTATAAGCATTGGGATACGCACAGGAGCCAAGATATCGTGCATTTTAGCAGCATGGGAAATGAGGAGTGTTAGCAGAGTCATATTTGATTTTACTTTGGTTATAAACATTGCAGTTTAATATTTTCTTTACAGCATGTTAAAATTTAAGGATTTTGCATAGAACTTCTGTATTCACAATTATGATTTTAACCTGCTTTGCAAGTAGTTGTGCTCTTGTGAACATAAGAAGAGTCATTAAATATCTGAAAGTTTCCCTATCAAAGGACTGCTTCATATAATGGCTATTGTCTGCATCTTGAGACAAAATCACATATAAACTTAATTCATGGGAGAGCATTGGAGAAAGCAATCCCATCAACATGTTTTAACCCAGGTCTGTAGTTGAGAATGAATAAAACTTGACATATATTTACATGTTCCTTTATTCTGCACAAGGACATACCACTCTGGAATGTAAATCTGCAGGTAGCATCTCAAAGTGAGTACTTTGCTGATTGCAAATTAACCACAATGACTGTTATGACAAAGAGCTAAGTCAGGTGAATGGCAAGTTGTAACAGTAATCAAGTGCTTTTAAAGTTTCTATTTATTGTTTAAAAGCAAACAGAACAAAACCTGTCTTCTGGCTGAGGATAAGGTCACCTGAGAGGAGGTTAAAGTATACTTTCAGGAATGAAAATTAAGGGGCTGTCATCCGTAACAGTGTGCTTATTGACCTTTTAGGTGTGACAATTGAATTATAGGAATCTACATGTGTGGTAGTTTCTTATTTATCATAATGCATTCCATAAGGAGAAGTTTCACACATAGGAAGGAATGACACAGGATTCCAGTACCTATCAAGTGGCAGTTCTTTACGGCAGGCAGTACACAACCCATTTCACAGTCATTATTTTATCTGCATCACACAATGCTTAGAAATTCTACCGTACAAATAACAAAGAAATGGAGGCTGCCTCAGAGCTTCCTGTTGTAAGCTGTCTGCAGGCTGCCCCCTTGTGTACCATCTGCTACTCACTGCCAAATGCTAATAGCCTCCATCACTTGAGCTGTAAATAAAACATAACAACAGAGAGAAAAGGTTCTAGATGCCCCAAAATACAGAAAAAGAACACTTCAGGAAAAAAAGAAAAGGTAAAAAAATAAATACAAATTCCTATGACCTGGTTTCAGTCATTTTTCCTTGTATGTGCTTAGAAGAAGAAAAAGTAATTGAGAGACACGCTGGATATTTTTTTCCTGTAAACACATAAGGCAGTCTCCAGAGCTTAAATGGACTGTTACTCCATTTCACCCGTAGAGCAAACCAAAAAGGCCAGCTGCTTATGAATTTGACTCACTGAACTCAAAAAGCTGCAGTGAGTCGTATGTTTCCTATGCTCACTGTGGGGTTGTCATAGTAATGATTTCTCCCTGTCATTTTTCACTTTACCGCACGACTCCATGGGATCAATTGCACTTAGCTCAGCATGGACAAGTATATATATAGTAGGCAAGGGAATGGAACTGCAACTTTGTTTTTCCCCTAACTCCATTGGAAGGCATCCCTCCATTCAAACAACAGCCAGTTACGATAGCATTAGAGTTCCTAAAAGGAAGGAGCTAGAATGTTTCTATCAGCCGACAGAGCTGGCCCAAAGCAAAACAAAAAATATGTTTACAGGGCCATAATCATTTCATAAAACCCCACAAAGAAAACAGAATACCTAATTTATACTCAGGTATATGTTGGAGTTCATAAGAACATAAGTGACTTGCTTCTTGCCTTTAGGCAGAAGCTCATAGTTATCTTCAGTCTTTAGTAGGAGGCACAGGAACTTCACAAACTGCTGAGGATGGTGGTGGCTGGTACAGCTGCACCTTCACAGCGGTTCAACTAGTTCTCCTGTTAACTGAAAGAAGAACAGCGATGCAGAGTCAAGATATTTTCTAGCACCGTGCTTTTGTTTACTCTGAACAGAAAGAATCAAAGCACGTGCATGAACAACTCCTTGAAGAAGCAGCAGTTAAGATGTTAGCCCTTTCAGCAGATTAATATTCTGGCACTGAGAGACTTTCCCTGCCTTAGCCCCAGGCATTCTCATCTTGGAATTGCCTAAACCAAAGTTACTCATCTCAAAGTATACACCCTCGGTATAATTCTTCAGGAAAAAAAAAAAAAAAAAAAAAAAAAAAGGAACTTCAGGTAGCCTTGCCTGGAGCCAGTTTTTGACCACTTAACCAATGCAAATTCTCTCCATGATCATCAGCATGTAATTATTTTGTGCGTTCCCTCACGTGAAGCTCTGTTTAAAACTAATTCCACAGGGCTTGCTGTTTTGCTCTTTGCTTGTTTGTTTGTTTCATTTTTAATACTCCAAAGAGACAGCATCTCATCAAATCACCCAAGATAAATTCCTCTTTGCCCAGTTAATTTACTGCAAGGCTCGAAATAATTTCTCAATATCTACAAACCTCCCCTTCACTTACAATGTTACCTGTAATCTAAATGAAGCTCTTTTCTTTTCTTCCCATAGATATTAATTGTGAAGTATATTCTGACTTCAACACTACATTTGAAGCCACAGCAAGTAGCTTATGCATTTCTCACATGAGAGTATTTGTGATCTGGAATTCATGAACCATGGTGTATTTTGATACAATAAACAGTACTTTGGCACATTGTGTCCAGAAAGACAAGCAATCACGGACACACATTCAAGCATATTACTGGCCAAATTCATCCCAAAGTTACTAATTTAATTACACATAACCATTTACATAATAGCAGTTTGGATTTTTCCTGTCATCCTCATAATAAAAATAAAAATAAAAAAAATCCCTAACTACTGAATATTGCAGATGAGCAAAATTGAAGACTCTAAAGGCAGAACCCAAAGCAAGATGTTTTCAGACAGCTATTCCAGATTTAGAAGCTGCACATAGGAAATACGCTTCACTGGTAATCTCTGGCTCAAACTATAATCTGCAGTTTCATACTCACCTGCAGTACAGCAATTAATCCAGACATCTGTATATTATATTACTGTTACCTAAAGAAAATAAATCAGGTTTTATATTCCATCAGTATTTAAAACCAGCTATTAAAAACAAATAAAAGCAGAAAAATTGCACTGCAGTCATATTGCAGCATTCCCAAACACACTTGGTGATCCCAATGCAGAGAAAAGAACAAGGTGTCCTAAACCCCTCCTAGTGAGATAGCACCCTCACAGTGAATTCACAATTACACAGCAAGGTAATGTGAACTCCAGATCAAAGCACAAACAGGTAGGAAACACCAGTTCCACTTCTGAGAAGTGCGAGAAGGAAAATTACCAGCAGACTGCTTTTTTCCTGAGATGCACTTAGAGCAGATAGCAGTGTCTGAAGCAAGTGGTTTACATTAGATGCTCACATTTTTGCTTACAAGGACTTCGTCATTTTAGCCGCATATTTCAAGCATTACGGTAATATCAGTACCTGAAAAACGCACAAGCCTTATACACAAATGGTCTCAGAAAAATTCATACAGAATTAGAGGAAAAAAAAACAACTTGCAAGTATGGATTTATTCTATTTGAGCATGCCAGTCTCATTGGTTTCTTTAATTGCTTGTTTGCATAAGCAACTTTCACCCAGTTTTGGAAATGTAACCTATTTCTGTTTAGCAGGCTTCATGGTACATATTGTAATTAGCATGTTTGTAGCCCCCGGTGCAAAGTGTTCCTTCACCGTTGACTGAAAATATAATACAAATGGA